CATAACATACATACATCAATTGAATTCATCATACTTCACATATTCATGTATTCAACATTATCCAATCCAATTCACATGTTTACAAATACAACATTGCTCAATAATTCATGATTTCAAAGATAATCAATCAGAAATGTAACATTCACATCAATATCACATATTTCACACCAATTAACATTTCACATCGATTCATGTTACTCGAATGCAACTAAATGCAATATCCATGTGTAACCAATTTTTATCCTTTACGGTTTTTTATTTAAACCGTGTCCATCTCTCAGACAAATAACCACCAAAAGCATGTCCTCTAAGCTTCAAACCAGTCCTCTAGGTTTAGGACAAGTCACTAGCTTCCACGAAATTAGAAAACATTACCTCTTGACAACAAATGGTGCATGTGCAATCTCAATAATTATATGCAATTAATATCATCTCTCAATCTCAATTATACAAGCATATATCACATAATGCATCACATTTAAATTATCTCGTCATTGCACAAACATACATCTTCCATGTCATAATTCACATACAATGCATTCTCATAGCATTAATCAACTCAACACACCATAATAACATATAGAAAACAATTCCAAGAAATGTTATTCTCATACAATTGTAATTCACAACATAGATCTACAAAAAATTCAAGTATCATGTTCATACAAAGAATCACCTCAAAACCCATCGAAACTCATTCCTAAAATTCCAAAAAATTGATGATAATCCATGATAAATAATAAGCATGCAAGACCTTACACAATTAAACAAATTATAAAACTTTTTGTCCCATAGCGCTCTAAGCGGCCTCCATGGCGCTAAGCAGCCTCAGCAAAAACCAGAAAATTTCCTACGCGAACAGTCTTGGGTTCCCACGTGTTGGTTCATCCAAAACCCATTCAAATACATATATTTCACCAATTAAATACATTATAACCTATATATAACATATGGCTTCAATTATAAACATTAAAACATGTTTCAAACACCAATTTCATGATTTCCCATTCAAAACATATGCATGTCAAAAACCTAGAAATTGAAATCCAAATTCCTAACTCATGTTTGCTACCCATTACATACATCATATAATCCCATAATCAAAGGAAAAGCCACCCATACCTTGGATGTAGATCCTATAGGGTTCTTCTCTCCTTCTTTCTCTTTTCTACCTTTCCTCCTCTTTTCCTATTCTCTTGATTTTCTTCACTTTCTCTTTCTAACTTCTATATTTCCTTGTTTTATCCAACACTTATTGAACCTATGTTTCACTAATGGGCTTAATGTCTCATTCTCACACTAACCGTTAATAACAAGGTCCAATTAATTAATAATTCTATTCTCACACTTGCTAACCTAATATACATATAACACATATTCCAAATTTATTAAATATGTCATATACCACACATCAAACCAATTAATCCAAATAACTCACATATTCACAAATTCACACAATTAATTAAAAACTATATTATATAATTATTAATAAAATAAATAGCTAATAAAATAAATAATAAATAAAATTGGAGTGTTACACCCTGCTCCAACTGATATTTTTCACCAAAATTTTATGAGACCGTGTTTTCATTTCAAACTATCTCAACCTGATTTCTTGATCCAGTTGGAATCCTTGAAACCTACTGAAGCCATATCAACCCGAATCATGCTCTGAGACTCACTAAAATGCTCTAACGAAGTCCAGTTCTCAAGCATTTCTTACCATACTTGGATAAGGTACTTTTGAGGACCTTTTTTACTCAAATAAGATACCATTGTGAAGCATATTACTCCCTGGTTGTATTCCATATCTCAGCTTGCGTTTATACTATGTGTTCAGAATTTAATTTTGATTTTTGTTTTTGATTTTGTCACGATTTTCTATGAAATTTTCCAAGAACACTTTGAATAAATGAATTTAAAGCCTATGGTTGAATCCACCCTAATGAGACGGCCACCATGATGTAGGTCTCAAGCCCTAACATCATTGTTTGTTAAACTTTGGTGACCAACTCACCGGAGAAGATGATCAGAAGGGTTTTCAATTAGTTTTCATGTGTTTTGAGTCTTAACTAATAGCGCGACTACGTTTGTTTTAATTTGGTTGGCTGGATTTAAATGGAATCAGATGCGTTTCTTCACTTAATTTCCAACATGAGCCTTCATTGAGATCCCTTGGATCTGATGACTGGACTTAAGTGACTCAGATCCTATGGTCCAAGCTTTTTCTGTTTTAATTTATTTTTTCTTATTTTGTTTTTAATTTGTTTTAGTTTCTAAAATCTAATTTATTTCAGATTTTCACTCAAAAAATCACAAAAATATTTCTGATTATTTTACACCATGTGTAATTTTTTTCTTCAGAATTTTTATTTTTATTTTAATGTTTCATTTGATTTTCCTCTTATTTAATTTTTTTAATTGGTTTAAACATAGTGTTATCCATTTTTAATTTCTCCAAAATATTCTCAAAAATATTTTAAATCATTTCTGATATTTCTGTTATTTTTGTTTCCATTTATTTGATGTTCTGATATTACTTTGGCATTTTCTCTTTTATTTTCAATTTAAAATCATTTTAAAAATCATTTTCATGCATTTTAATTGTTCATTTTTCCATTTAATATTGTTGACTTTTGTTGCCTTTAGTCATGACACATTTGACAACAAGTTTCATCAATATCAATGGACTTTGGGTGTTGATTTGGTTTGTATGAACCTTCATTAATTCAAATCTACCATTAATAGATTAATTGAATCATTTTTGGTACTTTGGATTGTTGATAGGTTTATCACCTTGATCCACCAAGAGAGACGATTGATTTTGACGATGACTTAAATCAATATTGTGATTCAATTTGGTTTATCATCTCTCTTCATCTCTTTCGCCCTCTTTTTTTCCTTTTGATGAATTGGATGATTATGAATTCATCTTGTTCAATTAGGTTTGGATTGATGCTTTATGAACTTTCATCATTTCAAATCTACCTCTAGGAAAGGGATCATTTGATCACTTTAGGTACTTTCTATTGATGATAAGTTTGTCCCAAGGTATCATGAAGGATTTGATTGATGTATTGATCTCATCTTCTTGACTTTGTTCTTGACCACCTTGCTTTTAAACCATGGTGTGCATTTATGCAATACACCTACATTATTTTAGCCTGACCTCAAATAGGTGCATCTTCTACATAAGTTCACTTACGGTTTCTTAACATAGCGTCAAATTGTTCTGAATTGGAATACTAATTACTAACATTAATAATATTAATTGTGCTAACTTTATGTTTCCTCACTTTCACATTAATGCCATTTAAATTCTTGCTTTTTACATTTATGTCATTTAAATTCTTAGACTTTACTTAAATGCCATTTACATTTTAGCATTTACATTTCATTTTTACTTTATATCATTTATTTTATTCCCTTTTCCTTTTGCCCCTTGGGCATATTTTTTATTTCTTTTAGAAGACATTAATAAAGGAAAAACACTAAAAAACTTGGGTCTAATCATTTGGACTATTGGTTACTATCCCTTTCTTGAGGAGTTGGACTTTTGAACTTAGAATATATCCTTAGCTTGGACTTTCATCTGATACCTTAAGATTCATCTGGACCATGTATTTGAGAATTTAGGATTTTCTTTGTGACCTTTGGTTTTGTCTGTTTGTTTTATTTTTCATCTGATGCAAGATTTGTTATCTGATACATTGGGTTTATCTGATGCTTTTGTAATCCATCTTCTTGTGTCATTATTCATCTGATGCTTGACTTGTGGCTTAATCGAAAGGAATGGGATGCTATACTTGACTGATGTCAAACCATCCTACTTCTACAAACATGGCAAAGTGATTGACAATTTCCAGTAATATGTTAAGATATGCCTTGTTATTTAAATTCGAGTTGTAAATTCTATATATTCAAGATGATGAAAATGCTCACCTTCCCATAGTTGTTGATAGTATATTGTGTTTTCCACTCAGATAAGACAACATATATTTTCATTAAAATCAACCAAACAAACGCCATTTTTTCTATGTTAGAAGAACTACATGGTTATGACTTCTTCATTTCACATGGATGGTACGTAGGCACGAGGCACTCAAAGTCTTGGTGAACCAAAAATCATAAAATAAATTTCTTTTCTCATCTCCCCCAATCTTTTGCAAACAACACCTTTTATAACACAAATTTTCAAAGAGGTTCACATGGTGTACCATGAATGTGAATGGTGCTAATACCTTCTCTTTACATACCGAACCCCTGTATTCAGATCTCTCTTTTTATTAGTTTTGTTTTAAAACTTTTGTGAGTTTTGTTCGATTTTTTCTCATTCCTTTGAAAATAATAAAGTTTGGTCGCGACTCTTTCTTTTTATGAGTTAAGTTAGTCAATAGCTTAATCTCAAATTTTCCCACCAAGACAACTCCAATATACATGTATACATGATTATCCAACAACAACATCAAACTCAAACACCAATAGAAAAACAATCCTTGAAAAGCTCATACTCAAACAAGTTCCTCTCTGTACCATAATTCTGCCAATAACAGGTCAAAATATAATTTCTTTGAATTACTCGACTAAAAGATATTTATATAATTAAATTAGATTATTATATATTTTCCCAAAAAAAACCATCAATAGAGTAAAGTTATGTTACTACTCAGTAACTCAAGAGCAACTCAACCATTATACTTAAAATATCTCGTTAGAGTAATTTTTAATTTCTAAACATATTTACAACACTCCCTGTAACTCTCATAGTAACTCCAGAGTACTCAAAAGTATTATAAAGTGCTCAAAATTTCTCTACTGATAACTTTACGTAATGAACTCAAAAAGGGCTGACAGCTAACTCTAAAATTGCTCGAGAAACCATGAAATAACCCTCGAACTCGAAACTATAGAAAAATGTCGACGAATCATCCACTGACTCGCTTAGGTTGAACCTACTTACCTGCCCGATCCGCAGCCACACGACCATCACCGACGCAAGACTACTCCCTTACGCCGACCCACACCACCGTTGTAGTGGCTTCTGCCGCCGCACAGTTTTCTTCAAGCCCCGTCATCGCCATCGAGACGTAGCCCTCCCCTACACTACATCAATTCTCGTACGCGATCATTCACCGTTATGAGGCCTCGCACTACACGTAGCCTCAACTTCTCTACGCGACCCCTCTTTTCAAGTTTTTCCTGATTTTCTATTTTTGGACAAAAAATTCAGTTTTTTGACTTTTTAAGCTATTGGGACAAACATACCAAATGGGACTGTTCAGAAAACAAACAGATACTTCAATTTTCCATTTTATCCATAATTTCACAGATAAATCATACGAGTTATAAATTCATCACAAAAACATTCCAAAGAATCACACGAGTTCCAATTTCATCACATAAACTTTAATGACAAATCATACATGTTCCAATTTCATCTCAAAAATATTACAGACAAATCATATGAGTTCTAATTTAATCACAATAACCCCAGTATGGCATAATACATAAATTACAAATTCACATATTTTCATATTACAGTAATAATACATGGAGGAGTTCATCAATCAGTGACCTCAGGGATTTTGGCCAAACCCCTTTAGTCACAGTCAATGCCAAAGACCATTTAGAATGAAACTGCAAAGATAACAGGGTAAGAAACCCTCACCATTTTGAATGCTTAAATCCGCCCACGAGTAAAGAAATCCCCCTTACCTCGAAGTTTGAAGGTTGATGGAATTCTTCCCATTTTCTCATGATCGCTTCAACGTTGCTCACTTCCCACTCCAAATTCGCCTCTTTTCCCAAATTCCAAATTATCACGTAACTTTTCCATTCCCCTTACGTCAACTATATATTTAACATAAATGTACCAATTTGTTCCCACACCCCTCTCACTCACACTCCCTCTAACATCTGACTTTGATTAAAAATAACACTTTTATTTTATTAAATATTTTTTTTACTAATAATCATTTAAATAAAAATCAAAATTATAATTAAATATTCATTTTCTATTTAATCTGATAATTTCACTAATTATCTCTAAATAATTAAAATATATAATTATTTCTAAATAATTAAATCATTCTATTTTATTTCTTAGCTATCAAATACTCTATATTCCTATTATTTATTAAATTTCTATAATACCCTTAAATCCCACAAAACACAAAAAATAATTCAAGTAAAAATAATTCAACAAGACATACACATATTCACTCAATTAAATAAAATAAACTAATTAAAAAATTATCTAAAGTTGGGGTGTTACAACTCTCCCCCGTTAAATGAATTTTCACCCTTGAAAATTACCTGGCAAAAACTGCTTCAGATAAGAATTTTTCATTTGGCTCTCCAGCTCTCACGTCATGCTCCCTCCAGCAAGTTCTCCTCACAATAATTTCACCAAAGCATTTTCTTTACTTTCGAGTTGCTTCAATTCTCGATTCTCAATCCCCATAGGTGATACCCTCAACCGTTAAATTATCTCTCACTTAACTTCATCTATTTAGATTACATGAGATGGATCAAGAATATACTTCAAAAGCTAGGATACTTCAAAAACATCATGAAGGTTCAAAAGAGATGGTGGTAAATCCACTCGGTAGGAAACAACTCCAACCCTTTGGATAATTTGATAAGGACCAATGAAATGAGGAGTAAGCTTCTAAGACTTTAGCGCATGATCATCACCACTCACAGGTGTGACTCTTAGGAATACATGATCACCCTCTCGTTACTCAAGAGTTTTCCTTACTCTGCGATGTCTTCATCATCTCTTGGATCATATTCACTTTCTCAGTAGTTTGCTGAATAATCTCTAATCCAAGCACAACATTCTCTCCAGACTCATACCAACAAAGAGGTGTCATACACCTCATGCAATACAAAGCCTCAAACATTGCCATTCCAATACTAGAATGGAATTTTTTGTTGTAAATAAACTCAATCAACGGTAGATAATTGTCCCGAGCACACCCTTGCTCTAATACACAAGCCCTCAACAAGTCCTCCAAAGAATGAATAGTCCTATTAGTCTGAGAGTTTATATATAGATGGTAGGCATAACTCAAACTAAGTCTAGTGCCCAACGCTTCCTACAAATCTCCCAAAAATTGGATGTGAATATCGAATCTTTGTTAGAAACAATACTTGATGAGATACCATGCATCTTCGCAATCACACTGATATAGATCTCTGCTAGCTTTTGCAACGAAAAACTGAATCTGAATGAAATGAGATAATTTAGTCAGTCTATCAACAACATCCCAAATCACATCACTTCTTCTAGGAGTAATCAGAAAACCTATCGCAAAATACATAGAGATATTGTCCCATTTCCATTCAAGAATATCCAACGGTTCCATCATCCCAAATGGCTTATGATGCTTAATCCTTAACTTTTGGAAATTCAAACTAGAATAAACAAAATGCACAATGTCTCTCTTTATTCCTAGCCACCAAAACATCTTCTTAAGGTCTTGTTACATTTTAGTAGCTCCAGGATGAATACTCAAACTACTTTTGTGACTTTCTTCAAAAACCATTCTCTTATGTTCCTGCACACCAGGAACACAAGATATATTCTGAAACTTTAACATTTCATTCTCATCAACTCTAAAGTCTTCGTCTTAATTTTGGTTAACTGATGACATACGATCAACCAAAGCCATATCTAGCTTTCGAATCTGATCTCATTAAGAAAACCACTAGTCAGCTTCAGCATACCTAGTCTCAAACTATTAGAAGTCACTTTTCACACCAGGCTCATATCTTTAAATTGCTCGATCAAATCCAACTCCTTAACCATTAATGCTAACATGTGCAAAGACTTTTGACTCAATGCACATGCTAAAACATTGGCTTTACTAGGATGGTAATTTAACCAAAATCATAGTCCTTAAAAAATTCTAACCATCTTTTATGCCTCTTGTTTAGTTCCTTTTGATCAAACATGTAACTCAAACTCTTATGATCACTGAATACTTTAAACCTCAAACCATATAAATAGTGCCTCCATATCTTTAGCACAAACACTACAACTTCCAATTCTAAATCATGGGTAGGGTAGTTCCTCTCTTGAATCTTTAGCTATCGTGAATCATAAGCTACCACCTGGCCATTCTGCATAAGTATTCCACCTAAACCCATCTTGGATGCATCACGATACACTACAAAAGGTTCTTTCATGCAAGGTGAGATCAAAATTGGAGTTGTTGTCAATTTCTTCTCCAGTTCTTAGAACTTTCTTTGCACTGGAATACCTACACAAACACTTGATCCTTTCAAAGCAACTAAGTTAAAGGTATATCTAACTTTGAAAAGCCTTCAATAAATATCCCGTAGTAACCAGCCAAACCCATAAAACTTTTGATTTATGTAATTGACTTAGGAGCCTCCCACGGTAACACCGCATCTACCTTAGACGGATCAACTGTTATACCACCAATGGAAATCACATGACCATGAAAGCTCACTTATTGAAACCAGAACTCACACTTAGATAACTTGGCATACAACTTCATCTCTTTCAAAACTTGAAGCACAATACAAAGATGTCAAGCATGATCTTAGTTGATTTAGAATAAACCATGTTAGAACATAGTTTGATTATACAACCCTTGTAAGAGTTTTGATGATAACAAACACAAAGAACAATTATGCTCCCTAAATTTATATTTTGTTTTGCAGAGAAGTTCTGATGGAAGAAGATTAGAAGATGAGTTAAAAAGTTGTTTCAACTCTGATTATAAACATCTCTTAAAGAAGTTCTAACGCTGCAAACAGGACTCTGTGTTTCTGATCTACAAAGCTCTTAAAAGAAGCAACATATACTTCCATCTTCTGAAGCAAGCATATTCTGAAGCGTTACAAATCAATTATGACCATTTCAAAAGTAATGGCGTCAAGGGAACAAGGATCTTTATTTTTGGAAAGCTCTTTAATTGTCATTTATCAACATTCCAAAAGCTCATACATGCTTCTCCTATTTAAACAAAGTTTGAAGGATAAATCGTTTACGATTTTTCACGGACATTAACGGAGCTATCTTTTTCATCATCAAACGTTTAAAATTGAAACTGTGTAAAACATCATTTGTGATAGTGCTTTATTAGAAAACATTCTTGTACACTTTTATTCAAATATTGTTTAGAGAAATTCCTTGAGAAAACCGTCTTGTGTTTTATACTCAAGAAGACTTTGACGGTTGTCATAGTAGATTTGTAATCAAGATTGATTAGTGGATTAAGACCTCGTTGGGAGAGGAGAAATCACCTTGGTGGGTGGGCTGGATTATTTTGAGTTTAAATGAACCAGGATAACCAAAGTGTTATTTTCTTTAGGTTTTAAAAATCCTAATTCACCCCCCCCCCCCTTTCTTGTGTTTTTCCATACTTAAATTGGCATCAGAGCGCCTGGTTCTGAGTACAAGCACTTAACTGTGTTAGAAAAAGATCAAAGCTAAGAAAAACATTATGGTGGGACCAAGTCATAACATCATAATTGACTACCATGATGAGAAAGACAGAATCACCGGAAAACCTCCAATCTTTGATGGAGAGAACTTTGATTACTGGAAAGACAAAATCTAAAGTTTCTTTCTGGCTCATGTCGCTGATCTTTGGGATATGGTGACTGATGGGTACATACATCCGGTTGATTAAAGCGGTCAGAAGATTGACAGAAAAAGAATGTCAGATCATAAAAAGCGAGACTTCAGAAATCATCACAAGGCCAGAACTATCCTCTAGAGTGTTATCTCATACACAAAGTATGAGAAGATCACAAACAGAGAGTTAGCAAAACACATGTTTGATTCCTTGAGAATGACACATGAAGGCAACACGCAAGTCAAAGAAACCAAAGCTCTTGCGCTCATTCAGAAGTATGAAATCATCAAAATGGAAGAATATGAAACCATTGAAACAATGTTCTCAAGATTTTAAATTCTAGTTGTTGGGCTAAAAGTTCTGGATAAAGGGTACTCCACTGCTGATCATGTAAAGAAGATCATCAGAAGTTTACCAAAGAAATGGAGACCCATGGCCACTGCTCTTAAACTGGCCAAAGATCTTAACAAAATATCTCTCTAAGAACTTGTCATCTCTCTCAGAAGTCATGAGATAGAGTTAGAAGAAGATGAGACTTAGAAGCAAGTTAAATCTTTAGCCCTTAAATCTAACAAAAAATATGAATCTAAAGTTTTGCAGGAAATAGAAGAAAACTCTGGTGGATCCTCATCAGAAGAAGACGAACTGTCTCTTCTCTCTAATAGAGTCAATCAGCAGTGGAAGCACATGCAAAGGAAGTTCGGAAATTCCAGAAGAATAGGGAATCAGGTTGAACCATATTCTGGATACAGAAAGTCTGAACCAACTTCTGGATACAGAAAATCGAGTAACAGAGACATTGTATGCTATGAATGCAATGAAAAAGGGAATTACAAAAGCGATTGTCCAAAGCTTCAAAAGGAGAAACCTAAAAAGATGTTCTTTAAGGAGAATAAGAAAAGTCTCATGGCAACATGGTATGACTCAAATTCTTCTAAAGCAGACACATAATCAGAAGATGAAAGAGCCAACATAGCCCTTATGGCCAACGTGTCAGATGATACTGAATCATTTGAATCAAAATCAGACTCAGAGGCAGAAGAGGTATTTTCTAACTTTTCTAGATCTCAATTAGAAGAGAATCTGTCAAAAATTCTAGAAAGGTATCAAAAACTTCGAGTCATAAACAAGAACCTGAAAAAG